CCCCCCCCCCAGCTCCCTCAGCAGAGTTAGCGCCAATATCAAACAAGCGCGACTAGACGAATGCGACAGCGGCAGCTAGACCAAGCCTCCTGCTTCTTCCGGACTTGCAGTACAACTTCGTGCCACACCCATAGCGCTCTGACTGAAACTCCTCGAAAGCGAACTTGAGGTCAGGTCCTGCAAGATGTCCTCTTCGCCTTATCCGGTCAAAGCCAAAGAAGGCGTCATTCCCCGATCGACCAAGGATGTCTTGTCAGGCACAGCAGGAGGCATAGCTCAAGTGCTAGTGGGTCAGCCTCTAGACATTGTCAAGGTCAGATTACAAACCTCTCCGCCCGGCACCTTTACCGGCATGGCAGATTGCGCCAGGCAATTGGTCAAGCACGAAGGACCCTTGGCTTTCTACAAGGGTACCCTCACCCCTTTGCTCGGGGTCGGGCTTTGCGTCAGCATACAATTCGGAGTGTTTGAGCGCATGAAGAGGGAGTTTCAGGCTATCAATGCCAAGAAATTCGGTGATCAGAGCTACTTGAACAAGGGACTTTCATCCTCGCAGCTCTACCTCGCTGGAAGCGCTGCTGGTCTATCCAACGCCGTCGTAGCAGGTGAGTCGCGGGCGGATAAAGGCACGTCTTGGAAATGGCCAGAGATCAGTCCGCTGACGCATACATGGTGATCCCATGTGCGCGCGCGCGCGCGCGTCCACGCAACAGGCCCCGTCGAGCAGATCCGTATCCGTCTTCAAACGCAAAAGAACAATCAATTCAAGGGTCCGCTCGACTGCGCGAGGCAGATCATCCGAGCCAGTGGAGTATCGGGCATCTTCAGAGGCATGATCCCGACCTTTGCCAGAGAAGGTCACGGTATGGGCTGCTACGTGAGTTCCCAACATCCCGCGCGCGCGCACACACGCATTTCCTCCAAACGATGCTCCGCGCGCTTAATTGCCCAACCCCCTTTTTGACACCTTTTCTCCTTGCTCAATTTTCGCTTTGCTAGTTTCTGACGTACGAGTACTTGGTGCAACAATTGCTGGCCAAAACGGGCAAGACCAGATCAGAGATGCCTGCCATCTATGCAGTGCTGTTCGGAGCTAGTAGCGGTCTGGCAGTGAGTTGAAGGGGAGACTCCGCTCGAGCAAATCTTGCATCCTTCGCAATTACCTTCCGAGCTGACGCACATCGCGGCCGTTTACCGAAACCACAGGTCTGGCTTTCTGCCTACCCATTCGAGTAAGTCGACGCCGATACCTACCTGCAGCGCCAAATGCCAAGCGAGGTCCACTCACACGCGACGCTCTTGCTCATTCCAGCATCATCAAGTCTCGTCTGCAAACCGACGCCATCCATCCCAAAGAGCGAGCATACAAGGGAGTGATGGACTGCGCACAGGCCATCTACAGACAAAACGGCATCAAGGGCTTCTTTAGAGGTTTGACACCCACGCTCGTCAGAGCCCCCTTTAGCAATTCTGCCACCTTCTTGGCAGTCGAGTGTGAGTTGCGGTGCGGTGCGGTACGGTGCGGTGCGGTACGGTGCGGTGCGGTGCGGTCAAGTTGTCCCCGCACTACGCGTGCCCTCTTCGCCTGCCTCGCTCGCCCCGCTTGCCGTTCTTGTGGTCTGTTCTTTCGCACGGAAAGCTGAATGCTGAATGCGCACAAATGTTCGCACTGCCTCTCCCATCTACACAGGGGCGGCAAGAAATTTGGAGCCGTATGTGAAGAATTAAAGTCACGAGTGGAAAAGATGGGCATTGCTCCCCCCCCCC